CCTGCCTCAGCCTCCCAAAGTGCTGGGAAACGTGAGCCACCATGCCCGGCAAACTTTTTTTTTCTTTCTTTTTTTTTCTTTTTTTTTTTTGAGAGACAGAATTTTTCCCTTGTCGCCCAAGCTAGAGTGCAATAACATGATCTCGGCTCACTGCAACCTTTGCCTCCCATGTTCAGATGATTCTGCTGCCTCAGCCTCCCGAATAGCTGGGATTATAGGTATGTGTTACCTCACCCAGCTTGGATTACCCAAACTCTTAAAGCATTTTTTATTTTTCAACAAGAGACTCTACCTGGGTATTTAACCTTCCATACAGTGAGGAAAAAAAGCCATTTTGTTATTTACATGCCAGGTACTCACTCATCTCAAGCCTTTCCACATATTTATTGTGTATAGTTTTTAAACTTGGTTATTGTAGAATATGATATACACAAAGAAAAATGAAAAATAAATTACTGTGGTTCAGTAATTTATCACAAACCAAACACTTATGTAACCACGACCCAGAAATCTTCAAGAAATAGAATGTTGCTATCCTCTTTGAACACTACATAACGATTTTGTGTAGTCTATAGTCTTTTGCGTCTGACTTCTTTTCACTCAGCATTATGTTTGTGAGACTTATTAATGTTGGGTAGAACCACAGTTTACATATTTTTCGTATACCACTTAGCAATGATATTTTCCATCTACTTTTGATAGGGATTTGAGTTCTGACTGTCACAAATAATGTAGCTGTGAACATTCTCCTGCTTGTCTCCTGAACTCTACTTGCCCCACGCCCTGGCATCCACCTTCCTGTTGGCTATGTTTGCTGTTTTCCAGGAGAATTGTTTGTGGGGGAGTTTTTTCCCCTCCTAGCTTTTGAAATACTTTCTTTTTGGATTTCTAAGTGGCATAATAATAACTACATTTTTTAAATTACTAAACTTTATTTTTTAGAGCAGTTCTAGGTTTACAGGAAAATTGAGCAGCAATGACTACATTTTTACAATGAAAACTTTTCTCGTAGACTTCCACTCATCTAAAAAGCAACTTGTATGTGTGAATTGCTTTAACAACTCTGCAATAAGACTGAGTTATGTTATTTTTTGTAGTTAACTAGGGTAGGCATAAAGTAGCTTAAGTGACATTTCTTTGATAATTAGCTGTTTTTTTCATATATTTGTTTACTAATTGTATTTCCCTTGCATGTGAATTGTTTACTTCTCTCTTCTCTTTGAATTCCTTTTTTTCTTGTTTTGGTTAATGTTTTCCTGGTTATGAAATGTAATACTGGTTTGTTCATTACAGAAAATGTAAATGGTACAGAAAAGTATAAATTTAGCTCATTTAAAGAACAATGATTTGAATACCAGATAACATGTTTTAGTTTTGTTTTTTGTTTTTTGTTTTTTTTTTGAGACGGAGTCTCGCTCTGTCCCCCTGGCTGAAGTACAGTGGCGCGATCTCGGCTCACTGCAAGCTCCGCCTCCCGGGTTCACGCCATTCTCCTGCCTCAGCCTCC